ATTTCAGGCTATTTTCGGGACAATTCCCGTCTGTTTTTGGGATAATTTTGGGGTAATTTCAGGCTATTTTCGGGACAATTTGGGGACAATTCCCGGCTGTTTCTGGGACAATTTGGAGACAATTCCCGGCTGTTTCTGGGACAATTTGGGGACAATTTGGGGACAATTCCCGGCTATTTTCGGGACAATTTGGGGACAATTCCCGGCTGTTTCTGGGACAATTTGGGGACAATTTGGGGACAATTCCCGGCTATTTTCGGGACAATTTAGGGACAATTCCCGGCTGTTTCTGGGACAATCTGGGGACAATTCCCGGCTATTTTCGGGACAATTCCCGGCTGTTTTTGGGACAGTTTGGGGACAATTCCCGGCTGTTTCCGGGACAATTCCCGGCTGTTTCCGGGACAATTTCAGGCTATTTTCGGGACAATTTGGGGACAATTCCCGGCTGTTTCCGGGACAGTTTGGGGACAATCTGGGGACAATTCCCGGCTGTTTCCGGGACAATTTCAGGCTATTTTCGGGACAATTCCCGGCTGTTTCCGGGACGTTTGGCAGACCTGGTGCCGAGGCGCCGCGTGCGCAGCCCCATGAAGACGGAGCGGATGAGCTTGCCGAAGGAGGCGGCGTTGACGGGCTCCAGCTTGTGGCCCTGGCAGTGCAGCAGGTAGTGGCAGTAGAGCGCGCTGCGGGGCAGGCTCACGCCCTCGGCCGTCTCGTAATTGTCCAGCAGCCACTGCACCTGCGGGCACAGGTCAGCGCGCCCCGCAACGGCCCTGAGCCCCGAAAAAAACAGCCCGGAATGGCCCTGAACCCCGAGAATCCAGCCCGGAACGGCCCTGAACCCTGAAAAAACCAGCCCGGAACAGCCCTGCACCCCGAAAAAACCAGCCCGGAACAGCCCTGAACCCTGAAAAAACCAGCCCGGAACAGCCCTGAACCCCGAGAATCCAGCCCGGAACGGCCCTGAGCCCCGAAAAAACCACCCTGAAATAGCCCTGAGCCCCAAAAAAACCACCCCGGAACGGCCCTGAACCCCGAAAAAACCAGCCCGGAACGGCCCTGAACCCCGAAAAAACCAGCCCGCAACGGCCCTGAACCCCGAGAATCCAGCCCGGAACGGCCCTGAACCCTGAAAAAACCAGCCCGGAACAGCCCTGAACCCCGAAAAAACCAGCCCAGAACAGCCCTGAACCCTGAAAACCCACCCTGAAATAGCCCTGAACCCCGAAAAAACCAGCCCGGAATGGCCCTGAACCCCAAGAATCCACCCCAGAACGGCCCTGCACCCCGAAAAAACCAGCCCGGAATGGCCCTGAGCCCCGAGAATCCAGCCCGGAACGGCCCTGCACCCCGAAAAAACCAGCCCGGAATGGCCCTGAGCCCCGAGAATCCACCCCGGAATGGCCCTGAACCCCGAAAAAACCAGCCCGCAACGGCCCGGCACCCCGAGAATCCAGCCCGGAACGGCCCTGAGCCCCGAAAAAACCACCCTGAAATAGCCCTGAGCCCCAAAAAACCAACCCCGGAACGGCCCTGAACCCCAAGAGACCACCCTGAAATAGCCCTGAACCCCGAGAATCCACCCCGGAACGGCCCTGAACCCTGAAAAAACCAGCCCGGAACGGCCCTGAACCCTGAAAAACCACCCTGAAATAGCCCTGAACCCCGAAAAAACCAGCCCGGAATGGCCCTGAACCCCAAGAATCCACCCCGGAATGGCCCTACACCCCGAAAAAACCACCCCGGAACGGCCCTGCACCCCGAGAGACCACCCTGAAATAGCCCTGAGCCCCAAAAACCACCCCGAAACTCCCCTGCGCTCCGAAAAAGCACCCTGAAACGGCCCTGCTCCCCAAAAATCCCCACCCCGAAACAGCCCTGCTCCCCGAATCCCNCCCCAGCCCTCAAACCCCCTCCCCAAAACTCGGGGACCCCCCTCGAGTTTCGGGGCCCCCTCCTCACGCGTCGCTCTCGCCGCTGCAGCGCCAGAAGCTTTTCCAGAGCGTCTCCACCAGCGAGAACTGCAGGTTGATCATCACGTCCACGATGGCCTTTTGGGGGGCACAGCGGGCTCAGGGGGGTCCCCCGGTGCGGGGAGGGGTCGCTGCGGGGCTCGGGGGGCTCCCCCACCTCGCAGTGCTCCCGGTAGAGCTGCTGGAACGCCCGCACGTCCTCCGGCCCCGCGCCCTCGGGGAGCCCCTTGCCCTGCACGTCGATCTCGGGGAACTCGGGCAGCGAGCGGGAGGCGTCTGCGGGGATTTGGGGGTGTCACGAGGGAACCCCAAAATCCTCGGGGGTTTGGGGGAGGCGATTTTTGGGGGGGGGGCACTCACCCAAGAACTGCTGGTACTGCTGCACCTGAGCGCTGATGTCGGGGACGCCGGGGGCGGCCGGCGCCGAGGAGACGCCGTTGGTGACCCCCCCCTCCATTTTCTGCACGGGTTTGAGGCTGTGGGGGGGGCCAGGAGGGGTGAGGGGCGCCGGGCGGGTTTTGGGGGGCTCCCGGGGGGTTTCGGGGGGCTGCTCACCGCTGTTTCTGCGCGAAGGGCTGCTGCCGCATGGCCAGGTGCTGCTGGTCCTCCACCAGCCGCAGCAGCGGCGAGCCCGCCTTGATGCGCAGCCCGTAGTAGTGGTACTTGGAGTTCCCCCTGGAAAACGGGGGCGCTCGGGGTTACGGGGGGTTTTGGGGGGATTTTGGGGGAGTTTGGGTGGATTTTGGGGGATTTTTGGGGGTTTTTGGGGGTTTTGGGGGCTGGATCCCCCCCGGGCACTTCGGGGGTCTCCCCTGGCTGGGGGTGCAATGGCGCCCTGCGCCCAGCAGGCGGCGCTGCGGCGGCGGCGCTCACCGCGGGATTTGGGGGAATTTTGGGGGAATTTGGGAATTTTTTGGGGGTATTTTCGGAATTTTTTTGGGGATGTTCTAAGGATTTTTTGGGGTATTTTTAAAAAATATTTTCGGGATTTTTTTTAGGATTTTTTTGGGGTATTTTCAGGATTTTTTTGGGGATATTTCCAGGATTTTTTGGGGATATTATCAGGATTTTTTTGGGGTATTTTCAGGATAGTTCCAGACTATTTTCAGGATAATTTCAGGATATTTTCAGGATAACTTCAGGATTATTTTCAAGATTATTTTCAGGAGGTTTTCAGGATATTTGGGAATATTTTCAGGATAATTTTGGGATATTTTTGGGACACTTTCAGGATAATTGGGGATAATTTCAGGATATTTTTGGGATAATTTCAGGCTGTTTTCAGAATACTTTCGGGACATTTTCAGGACAATTTCAGGCTGTTTTCAGGACATTTTCTGGATATTTTCGGGACATTTTCAGGATAATTTCAGGCTATTTTTGGGACATTTCCTGGATAGTTTCAGGATATTTTCTGGATAATTTCAGGATATTTTTTGGGACATTTTCTGGATAATTTACGGATAATTTCAGGCTATTTTGGGATATTTTCAGGATTTCAGGCTATTTTCGGGATAATTTCAGGACAATTTCAGACTGTTTTTGGGATAATTTCGGGATAATTTCGGGACAATTTCACGCTCTTTTTGGGATAATTTCGGGGTAATTTCAGGCTATTTTCGGGACAATTTTGGGACAATCTGGGGACAATTCCCGGCTGTTTCCGGGACAATTTCAGGCTATTTTTGGGATAATTTCGGGAGAATTTCAGGCTATTTTCGGGACAATTCCCGGCTGTTTCCGGGACAATTTTGGGATAATTTCAGGCTATTTTTGGGATAATTTCGGGATAATTTCGGGACAATTTCAGGCTATTTTCGGGACAATTCCCGGCTGTTTCTGGGACAGTTTGGGGACAATCTGGGGACAATTCCCGGCTGTTTTTGGGATAGTTTGGGGACAATCTGGGGACAATTCCCGGCTGTTTCCGGGACAATTTCAGGACAATTTGGGGACAGTTTGGGGACAATTCCCGGCTGTTTCCGGGACAGTTTGGGGACAATTCCCGGCTGTTTCCGGGACAGTTTGGGGACAATCTGGGGACAGTTCCCGGCTGTTTGGGGACAATTCCCGGCTGTTTTTGGGATAGTTTGGGGACAATTCCCGGCTGTTTCCGGGACAATTCCCGGCTGTTTCCGGGACAATTTGGGGACAATTCCCGGCTGTTTCCGGGACAATTCCTGGCTGTTTTTGGGACAGTTTGGGGACAATTCCCGGCTGTTTCCGGGACAGTTTGGGGACAATTCCCGGCTGTTTCCGGGACAATCTGGGGACAATTCCCGGCTGTTTCCGGGACAATTTCGGGACAATTTGGGGACAATTCCTGGCTGTTTCCGGGACAATTCCCGGCTGTTTTTGGGACAATTTGGGGACAATTCCCGGCTGTTTGGGGACAATTCCCGGCTGTTTTTGGGATAGTTCCGGGACAATTCCCGGCTGTTTCCGGGACAATTTCAGGACAGTTTGGGGACAATTCCCGGCTGTTTCCGGGACAATTTCAGGACAGTTTGGGGACAATCTGGGGACAATTCCCGGCTGTTTTTGGGATAGTTCCGGGACAATTCCTGGCTGTTTCCGGGAGAGTTTGGGGACAATTCCCGGCTGTTTCCAGGACACTTTCAGGACAATCTGGGACGTTTGCCGGGCCGGGCGCGCTGGGCCGCTGCCGCCCGCAGACCTGGTGCCGAGGCGCCGCGTGCGCAGCCCCATGAAGACGGAGCGGATGAGCTTGCCGAAGGAGGCGGCGTTGACGGGCTCCAGCTTGTGGCCCTGGCAGTGCAGCAGGTAGTGGCAGTAGAGCGCGCTGCGGGGCAGGCTCACGCCCTCGGCCGTCTCGTAATTGTCCAGCAGCCACTGCACCTGCGGGCACAGGTCAGCGCGCCCCGCAACGGCCCGGCACCCCGAAAAAAACAGCCCGGAACGGCCCTAAAGCCCGAAAAAACCCCCCTGAAATAGCCCTGCACCCCGAAAAAACCAGCCCGGAACGGCCCTAAAGCCCAAAAAAACCAGCCCGGAATGGCCCTGAACCCCAAGAGACCACCCTGAAATAGCCCTGAACCCCAAGACACTGCCCTGGAACGGCCCTGAACCCCAAAAAACCCAGCCCGGAACGGCCCTGAACCCTGAAAAAGCCACCCTGAAATAGCCCTGAACCCCGAGAGACCACCCTGGAACAGCCCTGAACCCTGAGAAACCACCCCGGAACGGCCCTGAACCCCGAAAAAACCACCCTGAAATAGCCCTGCACCCCGAAAAAAACAGCCCGGAATGGCCCTGAACCCCGAGAATCCAGCCCGGAATGGCCCTGAACCCCGAGAATCCAGCCCGGAATAGCCCTGCACCCCAAAAAAACCCCCCTGAAATAGCCCTGCACCCCGAAAAAACCACCCCGCAACGGCCCTGAACCCCGAAAAAACCAGCCCGGAATGGCCCGGCACCCCGAGAATCCACGCTGGAACGGCCCTGAACCCCGAGAATCCAGCCCGGAACGGCCCGGCACCCCGAGAATCCACCCCGGAACAGCCCTGAACGCCGAAAAAACCAGCCCGGAACGGCCCTGAACCCCGAGAATCCAGCCCGGAACGGCCCGGCACCCCGAAAAAAACAGCCCAGAACGGCCCTGAGCCCCAAAAAAAACAGCCCGGAACGGCCCTGAACCCCGAAAAAAACAGCCCGGAACGGCCCTGAACCCCAAAAAAACCAGCCCGGAACGGCCCTGAACCCCGAAAAAACCAGCCCGGAACGGCCCTGAACCCTGAGAATCCAGCCCGGAACGGCCCTGAACCCCGAGAATCCACCCCGGAACGGCCCGGCACCCCGAGAATCCAGCCCGGAACGGTCCTGCACCCCGAAAAAACCACCCTGAAATAGCCCTGAACCCCGAAAAAACCAGCCCGGAACGGCCCTGCACCCCGAAAAAACCAGCCCGGAACGGCCCGGCACCCCGAGAATCCAGCCCGGAATGGCCCTGAACCCCGAGAATCCAGCCCGGAACGGCCCTGAACCCCGAGAGACCACCCTGAAATACCCCTGAACCCCGAAAAAACCACCCTGAAATAGCCCTGAGCCCCGAAAAACCACCCCGGAACGGCCCGGCACCCCGAGAATCCAGCCCAGAATGGCCCGGCACCCCAAAAAAACCAGCCCGGAATGGCCCTGCACCCCGAAAAAACCAGCCCGGAACGGCCCTGAACCCCGAGAGACCACCCTGAAATAGCCCTGAACCCCAAAAAAACCAGCCCGGAACGGCCCTGAACCCCGAGAAACCACCCTGAAATACCCCTGCACCCCGAAACCCCTGCATCCTGAAAACACCCCCAAACCCAGAACGTTTTCTGTTTTCCTGCCCAAATTTCCC